TACCGCTGTGAGCAATTCTTCTGCAATCAGCGCACGGAAGAGAAGGACAAGGTCGCCTGGCAGCATTCCACTTGACCGATGAAGCACAGCTCTGGTTCTACCGAGTGGAGCAAGAAGAACCAGGCCTTAGTTGGGGCCAATTCAAGTCGTATTGCCTCCTCCGGTTCGGGCCCCCATTAACAAGCAACCCCTTGGGGGAGCTCATTAACCTCAAGCAGACCGGGACCGTCGTGGAGTATCAGCGGCAGTTTTAGACCCTTCTCGCCAGAGCCTCTTCGGTTCGGCCAGACCAGCAGGTGGATATGTTCACAGCCGGCCTATTGGAACCTCTGAGGGTTGATGTGGAGATGCAGAGCCCACCCAACTTGGTCACAACAATGAATCTGGCCCGAGCGTTCGAGCACAAGCTGCAGATCATCCAAGGGCTGTCCAGCATGGGGCGTCCCGCAACGACTTGGGCGAACCCAAGATCTACCATAGGAAGGCCTACGATGGCTGCCAACAGGGAACAACGCCCTTTCACCAGCAACACCACCCGAGCTGCAACTAGCATGGGTAGCAGCACGACAGCACCTCCCATCAGATGCTTATCCAGGGCCGAGATGGTAGAGCGCCGAGCCAAGGGCCAATGCTTCAACTGTGACGAGTTGTACWCAGCCGACCACCATTGCAAGCGGTTATTCTGCCTCCTAGTAGACGAGCTGGAGGAGGAAGAAGAGGAACAGGCAGCACAAGAACCCGAGATCTCCCTCCATGCCATCATTGGAGTCCAAAACTCCCAAACCATGCAGCTGCAGGCCCAGGTGGCAGGAAAACAGGTACGGATTCTGGTTGACTCAGGGAGCACCCACAACTTCATCAGCAAGCAGGCTGCGCTCTGACTGAAGCTACCAATGGATGACAGGCTGCGGCTCCAGGTGGTTGTAGCAAACGGGGAGAGAATTCACAGTCCAGGGATCTGCCGAAGCGTCCAAATCCAGGTGGATTCTGAACCATTCCTCGCAGATCTATTTGTACTGACCTTAGACGAGTTCGACATAGTGTTGGGGATTNCTGAACCATTCCTCGCAGATCTATTTGTACTGACCTTAGACGAGTTCGACATAGTGTTGGGGATTAAGTGGCTCATCACCCTCGGCCCCATCCTATGGGATCTCAGCGCCTTGACCATGACATTTGACTTACATGGGAAGTGGGTCACTTGGAAAGGGACCAAGATGAGAGCAAGAAAACCACAGGTGCATACTCTCCATGACGATGCCTTGCACACCGCAGAGATGGAGAGGCTTCTTGTCAACTTTTCAGACGTGTTCTCAAAGCCTAAGGGCCTTCCACCTGGCCGGTCGTGTGACCATTGGATCCCATTAATACCAGGGGCAGGACCCGTTGTCGTGAGGTCGTACCGCTACCCGCACCTACAGAAGGACGAGATAGAGAGGCAGTGTGCAGAGATGCTGGAACAGGGAATCATATGCCCCAGCCGCTCTCCATTCTCTTCATCAGTCTTGTTTGTGCCAAAGCAAGACGGCACCTAGAGATTTTGTGTGGACTACAGGGAGCTCAACAGTAGAACCATCAAGGACAAGTTCCCGATCCCGGTGGTAGATGAATTGCTAGATGAGCTCCACGGGTCTCAGTACTTTTCTAAGTTGGATCTCAGGTCAGGTTACTTCCAGGTCCGAATGGCCCCTAAAGATGTGGAGAAAACAGCCTTCCGAACGCATCATGGCCACTTTGAATTCCTGGTCATGCCTTTTGGTCTCACCAATGCCCCATCTACATTCCAGGCCCTGATAAACGAGGTATTTCGGCCCCACCTCCGCAGGTTCGTCCTAGTATTTTTCAACGACATCTTGATTTACAGTACTTCGTGGGTGGAGCATGTTTGTCACCTAAGGACAATTCTGGAGCTGCTACGACAGCACAAGCTCTTCCTAAAACAAACCAAGTGCTCCTTTGGAGAGCCACAGGTTCGTTACTTAGGCCATATAGTCAGCAGGGAAGGAGTCTCGGTAGATAATTCCAAGATTCAACCCATCCGGGAGTGGCCCAAGCCGCAGACCATTAGGGCTCTCCATGGGTTCTTGGGGCTCACGGGATACTACCGCAAGTTTGTAAGGGACTATGGACTCCTGGCGGCCCCATTGACCAAGATGTTTAAGAAGAATGCATTTCAATGGGATGAAGCAGCTAACACCGCCTTCACAAACCTAAGGGACGCACTCTCCACTACCCCCGTGCTACAACTACCAAACTTTGAGCAAGAATTTACGGTAGAATGTGATGCGTCTGGCATAGGCATCGGAGCAATACTGCAACAGAAAGGGCACCCCATAGCCTTCTTTAGCTGCAAACTAGTAGATCGGCACCTCAAGCTACCGGCCTACGAGCGCGAATTGATCGGACTGGCCAAGGCCGTCCAGCACTGGAGGCCGTATTTGTGGGGCAAACCCTTCATTGTCAAGACAGATCACTACAGCCTCAAATACCTTCTAGAACAGCAGCTTACTATTCCACCCCAACAGCACTAGGCAAGCAAACTGCTAAGATTTGACTTCCGCGTAGACCACAAGGCGGGAGCCTCCAACCGGGCCGCTGATGCGTTGTTCAGGCGTGAAGAGGACACGGCGCACCTCTGCGCGGTCTCCCAGCCCCGCATGACCCTACTAGAGGACCTAAGGAGCGTGTTGCCCCAATCACCAACGTGGAGAGACCTGATGCAAGAGTTACAGTCGGGCACAACCAAACCAAACTGGACCATCCACGAGGGACTTGCACTGTACAAAGGAAGGGTATATCTCCCAACAGATTGTCCCTTGATTCCAGCTATCCTCGCCAGCATCCACACTGCCACCCATGAAGGGGTGCAGAAGACGTTACACCGCGTCCGTGCAGACTTTCATTGGCATGGTATTCGAGGCTCGGTCGAGGATTTCATCCAGAACTGCTCCATATGTCAGCAACAAAAGTGGGAGAACTTACACCTAGTAGGACTCCTGTAGCCCCTTTCACTCCCAACGCAGATCTGGGCCAATATCTCTATGGACTTCGTTGAAGGCTTGCCTAAAGTCGGAGGGAAATCCATCTTATTCGTAGTGGTGGACCGCTTCTCAAAATATGCTCATTTCATTCCATTGTCCCACCCCTACAACGCAGTTTCTGTGGCCCACGCCTTTTTCACACACATCTTCCGCCTACTTGGGCTGCCCGAGACCATCGTCAGTGACAGGGATGCAGTCTTCACCAGCACCTTCTGGAAGGAGCTATTCAGATTACAAGGCATGACCCTAGCCTTTTCCTCCGCCTATCATCCACAGACGGACGGGCAAATGGAGGTTGTCAATCGCACCATAGAAATGTACCTCCGTTGCTTCGTGAGGGACCAACCATGACGCTGGATGGACTGCCTTCCTTGGGCCGAATACTGCTACAACACATCCTACCACTCGTCCCTCGGCATGACTCCCTTCCGCGTGGTGTATGGGCGAGACCCTCATCGTCTTCTTTCCTATGAACCGGGTTCAACACGGTTGGAAGAAGTAGACCGCAACCTCCAAGACCGCGATGCCCTACTGGCTGAAGTCTCCTTACGGTTGCAGCAGGCACAGGCACGCATGAAGATAGCCTACGATCAGCACCGCCGTGAGGTCACCTTCCAGCCAAGACAGTTCATTTGGCTAAAGCTCCAGCCCTACCGACAGCTCTCCCTCAGGCAACGGGGCCGCCAAAAGCTGACCCCAAGGTTTTACGGGCCCTTCAAAGTTCTTCAATAGATCGAGAAGGTTGCCTATCAACTGGAACTGCCCGAGCACAACAAAATCCACGATGTCTTTCATGTGTCCCTACTAAAGCCTTTTACAGGGACTCCCCAACGCAAGTGCCTCCTCTACCCCCTCTCAAGGACGGCAGACCCATCCTCCAACCTAGAGCTCTCGTCCGTCATGCATCAATCAGGGCACCTTCGAGGTTCTAGTAGACTGGGACGAACTACCATCAGTGGAGGCCACTTGGATTCCATGGACCGACCTGCACAACACCTACCCCGACCTCGAGCTTGAGGACAAGCTCGTTGCCCAGGAGGGGTGTAATGTTATGGACACGACTCCCGGCAACACACTACGTCGCAACCACAGGCAGCAGTGCGCACAGCAGCGCGCCGCGGTACAGTTTGCCAGCCGCACGCCCAGCGGCTCGCACCGCCCGGCAGCAGCATGCACCGCACAGCAGCAACACACACCGCACGGCAGCGGCACGCACCACATGGCAGCAGCACGCACCTCACAGCAGCAGCAAGGTGGGTCACGCGCGCCAACGTAGAGCGGGGCCCACACGCCAGCTGTACCTTTCCCTTATCCCCTATTTTTGTGTTCCCCTTAGAAGTAGGAGTTTGAGTTTCGATAGAAGTTTAAGTTGCGATAAGAGAGGGACTACCTTAGCCGAATACAAGAAGGAAACCCTCCTGTAATCTCCTATTTAAGGAGCTGATTTATTCAATAAAGGTATTAAATTTTCAGTCAAGAGGAGAACAAGGAGAATTAGGTGATCTCTTGAATAAATCACCCCTCAGTTCGCCACCATAGGGTCAACTCGCAAAGGGAAGGCAAGGGGAAGGCAAGGAGTTTTCCCAACAAACCGCCCCGTGACGAGATCCTACGCCCGGGCCCATAACATAGATAACCTTAATGAATACATTATTCTCGCTCTATTTATCGCATCTCTCTTACCAATTTACATCCAAATCTATTTTCAACCATAAAAAACCCCCATGTTCTTTCCAACTCAGTCCTATAGGGCTCCAAACGGATCGGATCGGATTCGGTAAGGGCATATCCGATCCGATCCGTTAAGAAAATCCGATTGATCCGAATCCAATATCCGAAATTCGAAATCGATCTGATTGGATCGGATTGGGTCACATCGAATCGGATCATCCAATATCCGAAATTCGATCCGTTAACTTAAACCAGAATCGTCATGATTTACCGGCGCTACTAGATCATCATGATTTACCGGTTGCCTGTTACCTCTGGTCTCCAGGAACTGCTGCCGCAGTTAGCACGGCCAAACCAGCGCTACTAGATCATCTCGCCGCCGCCATTAAACCAGTCCATTAAGAGTCAGAAAATCAATGGTTTGATCCATTAAAAGACGCTCCTTGTACTTGGAACCCCACATCTCTCCTTCGTTAAACAATCAGATCAGGTTATTCTGCTTCATTATTCCCACTTGAAAGTCCACTACAATACGCTTCAACTTGGTTTCCTCATCCAATGGCTGTTTGAATCAACTGCTTGACCAGTGATACCCGCAAGTTTTTTGGTTGCTTGAAAGAAGGCCCATCAACCATGAAACACAATTCGTATTGAAACTTGTCTCTGCTCAACTTGTCGCTCCAAATTCAATGGACGCTCTGAAGATGGAAACTTTAGTGGTTTCACCCCATTTTCTTCCGTCGCGTAGACATTTATCTCCAAAGGTTTCAGTTGTCTCCATTTGCAGCAGAAGATCAACAGGTTCCCTTAGCTTCCCCGTCTCCCACTCTCGCACCCAGTTCCGTCAGCTTACTTTGAACTGTTCGGCTTTCTCTTATTCTTCGTTAGGTATCTCTTTCTTCTCTACGAGGGCTTCCTTTTCCTAACTTGTCTCTAGAATTGATTTTAGATACAATTAAGAATGATTTCTCTTACAATATCTTGAACTTGATTTTGATTTCTGGTTTTATTGATTTAGCTGAGGAGGATGCGAAGTTTGCAGAAGCTTCCAAGAACGGAAACTTAATTCCGCTATACCGCTGCATTTTCTCAGACCACCTGACTCCGGTGCTTGCTTACCGATGCCTAGTTAAAGAAGATGATCGAGAAGCTCCAAGTTTTTTGTTTGAATCAGTAAAGCAGGGTTTCCGAGCAACTAATGTGGTAAGCTCCCATTGTTTCTTTCTTTTCTTGAAATAATTCCTATTTCGTTGTCATGTATTCTGTTCTGAATTCATTCCCCAGGGACGCTATAGTGTAATCGGAGCTCAGCCAACAATGGAAGTTGTGGCAAAGGATAATTTTGTTACAATTATGGACCATGAGGAAGGGAGTAGAACTGAGGAATATGTTGATGATCCGATGGTAATTCCTCGGAGAATTATGAAGAATTGGAAGCCTCAACGCATTGATGAACTTCCAGATGTATTTTGTGGTAAGTACAAGGAATCAATTACTTGCATATTTTATGAAAACATCATACTTATTATGAATCAATCTCAACTTTGCTCTGTAATTTCATGGAATGTGAATGACATAAATCCCCCCTTGGAAAATCTATTTAGGTAGAACATTACATGACTAAAAGAGTTAATTTATAAATCTATGGAGTTGTTTATAAGATACATGAGCTTACCTCTTTTTTTACAAATGCCAATCAATCTTAGAGCCCAAATACTTAAATTTTATTTCTTTATAGTTATATGTATTTTTTTTTTCTTTTGACACTTCAAATCTTGAACCACATACATCATTTTTATTGCATTAAGTTGGCAATGGTCTTAGGTTGGAGATCTTGGATAAAACTGAAATGGTACTGTTGCTGATCAGTTAACAATTCAGATCAATTCTTTTAGTCTCTGTAGCTAATATTTAGTTTTCTGAAAGAGAACCTAGTAGACCACATTGGGGTGGAGTTTAGACAGACGTAATTGAGGCATAGTTAAATCAAAACTCAATTTTTTTTAACACTGGCACCAAGAGGGGGAATTACAGTTCAAAACTTTTGTGATGTTCCAAATTCATAATCAACAAATTGGTTTAGGGTTTTCAAACCTAAATTCACCCAATATTGTTGAGTTCACCTTCAAGATTTTCACCAAGATTTCTCAGACCAAAAGAAGAGATTCAAAACTCTCATACCTGAAATTTTGACAGTCCACAAGTGCAGATCATCTAAGTGGTAGTTCATGTCAGATCACCTTATTATAGTCTCACAGATACAATGTTGGAGATGAAGATGGCGTACCTCCAAGATTGCTCCTTGATCTCTGATGAACTAGCAATGTTTTGCCTCTGAAATAACTCTGGAAGATGGTCAACTGTTGCCTTGATCTTCTCCAAGAACAGGTTTGAATGTTGTCCAAGATTGGGAGTCAAAAGCCTAATGGCGATCTTCAGTTTTCTCTCTCACTATTGCTGAATTGTTTTCTTACAAACTCTTTCAAAAGAATAGTATGCAAGAAGATGCATGATCTGGCCAAATCATCTCTTTCTGATTAGGAAAGTCCCAATCCAATTGGAGTTTCTAATTCTGCTAGGACTTTGACTAGTCAAACTAGTTAGTTATGACTCCAACTAGAACTCTTTCTAATTAGAATTTGACCAACATTAGGTTACATCTAAATCTTATTAGGGATAAGGATCAGTGAGAAAAGGTTCCATGTGGCATGGGACCCACAAGATCTTAGCTAAATTAATTCTAAAAGAGTGATCCACACTTCACTTAACATATGGACCAAATTCAGCTTGTCTATACAAGTGAATTTGCCAAAGTGTGTTGGGCCCAACAATTGGCTCATTAATTCTTATATTTAAAACTGGGTCTTATCCATCCTATGAGCCCAAGACCATTAATTTGGGCTGAGTTAATGTCCACCAAGTATTTAAGGCCTAAGAAGACATTTGCATAAAATCTCGCAGCCAATAATATCATAACATTGCAGATATAGATGGACCCTTTCCCTAACTGTCAAATGCAGTGCCACACCCTCTACTCATAATGAATCCTATGATTAAAACCATTAGCAAACTCTTTATCAAAATAAACTATTTATAAATATAAGTACATTTTGCAAAGCAATTTCAAAACATGTTGAAATCCACTACCGGCAACTTTAGGTTTCCATCATAGAAAGTGTAACCTAGATATTCTCTTTGTCTAACAAAGTGGCTAATCCTATCACAATGATCACTCACTGAAGTATCTTTGTAGTATACTCCAACATTCCCAATTATTTGACCCCAAAAGGATCTCATTGGTTGTCATATTAGAAGCAGACCAGTCCAACACCCAGTGTAGTATCATTATCTAGTCAGGGGATTAAATGCAACTTCCCAATTTTACCCACCTGTCTCCACAGTCTAGGGTTAGATTGGAAATGGTCTTGTTTAATGTTTCTTAAACACCCACTCACTGTACCTTAGGTCCAACCCAAGTAATTGAGATATATTGTTCCACAAATTTGGCAACACAAGAGTGTCAACCTTGGTATGATAAACTCCCCAAGTTTATCAATTGGTTGAGAACATTTTAAGCTAACATAAGTCTCATAAATGTCCAACTTTAAGGGGTATTAGTTTACATTACTTTGGAATTGAGAACATACACTGTCTAACAACTTTCTGGAATGATTCATGCATAGTTGCCAAGGGCACCTCACCCAAACGCCTCGACTTATAGCAACTAGGCACCCACCTAGGTGACAAAAATGACAAGGCAAGTGCCTTATATAATATCATTTATATTGGTGTATCTTATTATATGTGTCTTAAATACATTTTATTTTATATTATATATATCATATTACTTCGCTTTAATATTTTACTATTGAAATTTAAAAGATTAAAGGGTTTTAATGTTTTAGAAGTATAGTGAGTATTTTTTTTCTACACACTCTCTCTTCAATTAAATAAAACAGAAATTCCATCCTTGTTTTTTTTTACTATTTTACTTTCCATCTTGAATATTTATTATATAAAGTTAATAACCATCTTTAGCTGCTAATTGATATGAAATTGCTCTATTAAATACTTATTATAGTTGTATTATTTTCTAAAATAATGAAATCACTATATGTATAAGATTTTTTTCTTTTAGATGTGATGATTCGACACATTTTTAGAGGAAATTTAATGTTCTTTGTTAGAGAATATCAACCTATTCAAGGACCTCACCTAACAACTAAAGCTTTTAGGTTGAATGGTTCTTTGAGATGGTATCAGAGCCACTTTGACCAAGTGGTCTAGTGTTCGATCCTCATTACCCCCATTATAATTAATTAAGTTTCAGCACAAGGTATGGGTGGGCCTGTGCTTGTTCACACTTCAAGGCCAATGTGCTTTCGTGTGAGGGGGCGTGTTAGAGAATATCAACCTATTCAAGGACCTCTACTAACAACTTAAGCTTTCAGGTTGAATGGCTCTTTGAGATTCTTAATAAAGAAAATTGCTATTTTTCAATTAATATGCTTGCTGAATGGTATATAAAACTAGGGAATTATCCAAAAGTTAGTTCGTTATATTATAGAATTCTTATTGCCTAGGCACCCACCTAAGCGACTAGGCGCCCCAATGTCGCCTAGAATCGCCTAGAACCTTGAAAACTATGGGTTCAGGATTATAATGGTCATCTTATTTTATTTATGTAGTTTATTCACTGGAGCCACTAAACAACAGTCAAGTTTACAGGAATTGTTTATCATCTGAAGTATTCTATTGATTTAGAAATGACTATTTTTAATGTTATAGTATCATGAAAAAGTTTTCCATGTTGTAATAGCAGTTTTTTTGGTAATAGTTGGATTACCGGTTGATTGAAAGCAATTCTGTTTCTTTACTCATTTCAGTTGAATTATAATTATAAAGAAAAAACATAATTATAGCTTATGCCATATGAACAGGTGGTTGGGTTGGTTACTTCTCATATGATACTGTAAGGTATGTTGAGAAGAAAAAACTTCCTTTTTCAAGTGCTCCTGAGGATGACAGAAACCTAGCAGATGTTCATCTAGGCCTCTATGATGATGTCATAGTTTTTGATCATGTAGAGAAGGTACTTTTTCTATAACAACAATCAATTCCCTCTTTTGAACAAGAACAAAGTTTAAGTTTGTCATTTTCCATGCTTCCGTTGTTAACTATGCCAATTGAATTTATGATCATCCATAATGTTCTTCATACATTATTAATGTTTTAGTCGTAGATTTCATTTTGAGTTATTTGGAGGTTTCTAACTACTAACTTGATTGAGCATTGAGGGTTTCTTGGGTGTTTCTTTTGCCCTCAGAGAGCTTATGTGATTCACTGGGTTCGGCTGGATCAGTATTCTTCAATTGATGAGGCTTATGCTGATGGAAAGAACCGCTTGGAAGTTTTAGTGTCTAAAGTGCACAATATTGTTCCGTGAGTAAAGTTTTCGTTTTATCTTGCCTCCTTGTTATACTCCTTATTAGCTCTTACTTGTTATGTATTATTCTTCCTATTTCTCGTTATGTATTATTAGCCCAAGGCTATCAGCAGGGTCTGTAAAATTATATACTCGGCACTTTGGTTCTTCATTGAAAAAATCAAACATGACACGTGAAGCATACAAGAATGCAGTAATGAAGGCTAAAGAACATATCCTAGCAGGCGATATATTTCAGATTGTTTTAAGTCAACGGTTTGAACGCCGAACATTTGCAGACCCATTTGAAATATACAGAGCATTGAGAATTGTGAATCCAAGTCCATATATGACTTATTTACAGGTGCATCTATTCTTCTTTGTAGCTTTACATAATTTCACTTAAAGTTGGTTTATATGAGCTGTTCTATTACATTTGTAACTGATTTTGTTTTTACATTCCTATCAAACTTAGGCTAGAGGATGCATTCTGGTCGCTTCAAGCCCTGAAATTCTCACCCGTGTGAAGAAGGTAAACTGATATGGCTTGGCTGAGTCATTACCTGAATAGCTTAGAAGTTTTCTCCTTATAAATGATTACCTTATTTACAGATTTTTAAAATTTATTATTTACATTTAGTTCTATAGAAGTGATTTATTCTCTTGGAAGTTAAATCATATTTTTGACATTTTGTTAAAATAAGGCCCTGTTTGGATAGACTTCTATAAAGTACTTTCGTACTTTTGAAAGTATAAAAGTACGGAAAACATGACATAGCATTTGTATTGTGTACTTTATACTTTTTGCTTTCATACTTTTGAAAGTATGAAAAACCCCAAAAGCACGAAGTTAGCTTTTTATACTTCGTGCTTTTGGCGCTTCCGTTTTTGTGCGAACAGGTGGTCACACGTGACCACCCTTCGATAAAACTCTCGACCCTACCTCTGCTCGCCACTGCTAGAGTTGAACTACCATCACCGGTCTTAGACCCTGAAACCACTGGAAACCGTCACTGGAAGTACCAACAGACATGCTTTTGCCAAACAGAAATGGTACTTTGTTTTGAAAAGCATACTTTTCAAAATTTTTTACCCAAACGGTTTTCAAAGCAAAAATACCAAAGTAAAAGTATTTAATGTACTTTATACTTTGATATTTTTGAAAGTACAAAAGTGGAAGTCTATCCAAACAGCGCCCAAGATTTTGACATCTAACATTGGTTTTAGATGTCATGATGTTCATATACATGTTCCTCTTTTGATCTTGTTTAGAATGATAATATTTTGTGTATAGGCTTTCCATGTTTATAGTGTTGAGCTCTTCCTCATGTTTTACCAACTAGTTACTCTATTTTGCTCATATTGTCAGGGAAAGATTATTAACAGACCACTTGCTGGGACTATTAGAAGAGGAAAAACAGACAAGGAGGATGACATGTTAGAAAAGCAGCTTCTGAATGATGAAAAGCAATGTGCAGAGCACATTATGTTAGTTGATTTAGGACGAAATGATGTTGGAAAGGTTTCTCTTCTTTTCTAATGTTCATCATCTACCTGAAAATTTATTTGTACAGTGTTAGATGTTCAACTTTCTATATAATTCTTTCATTCCAAACATTAGATGCATTTCCTTGTGATTTTATGTGGGTAGACTTTGGGCCTTATTTTGAGACCTGTTGATTCTCACCTAGTAGTGTGCCCTTGGTTTTGTGATTGAGGAAGATAGCTTAAAAAAATTGGGTCCTTTCAACCTAGACTTTCTATTCTTTTTTCTTGTCCATTTTTTAAATTTGTAAGGAGTCACTTCCCAGTCTCCAATCCAATTAAGGGTTAGATTGTGAAAAATCTGCTTTCATATATATATATATATCATCATCATCCAGGCCTTATCCCAACTTTGTGGGATTGGCTGCATAAATCCTGTTTAAACTATGAGCACTTAAATGAAAGTCTATGAACAGACAAAATCAGTAAACCATTGATGAAATATGATTGGCATGGTTATGTTCTTACCATCAACCTAGCACACGAGTAAGTGTAATAAGAAAATGAGGTGTGGGAAGGAAATAGGTCTAAGTAACTTAAGGTTTGTAGACTAGGTTTTGGCAGCAGCAATGCAAGCACCGGGAACTTGTATTCTATTACTAACATGGATCTCACAACTTAATATTTGCATCTAATATGCTGGATCCTTTCATCGTGAGTTAAAATTTTTACATGTTACATTTATTTTTTATGGATTCAATTCTTTGAGGCATATTTATTTCTGGTGTTTTGGCCATGTCAGGAATTATGCAAGGACCATGTTCCTTCCACTTTTAATTCTCAAAATTTGCATGCCTTTTGACCATGAGTTGTAGATTATTAAGACACACTTTAATGTATAAGAGACTATTGCTGCAGGTCTCCAAATCTGGCTCTGTGAAGGTAGAGAAGCTTATGAATATAGAAAGATACTCTCATGTAATGCATATCAGCTCTACGGTAAGAATCTTCTTGCAGTTCTGGATTTGGGTGGAGTTTATAACTTGAACAGAAAAAGACTAGCCAAACATACCATAAAAAAACTTGATGTGCAAGCTACTCTTTTATTTTTTATTTTTTGTCTCATCTAGTGTTTTAAAGGCACACCTAGGCACACAGGTAGGATGCATTTTAGGGCATGCACCTAGATTGAACTCAAGGTATGCCACCTTTTAAAGGCAAGTACATGGATTGAGGCAGGCAACCTAGGTGCATGCCTCTATATTTGTTAGAGAACGAAAACCTATTCAAGGACTTCACCTAACAGCTTAAGCTTTTAGATTGGACAGTTTCTGATACCATCTCAAGGAACCATTCAACCTAAAAGCTGTTAGGTGAGGTCCCTGAATAGTTTTTTATTTTCTAACATGCCCCTTCATGTAAAAGCCTGTTGGGATTGAATTGTGGACAAGCACAGGTCCACCTGTAGTGCTGAAATTTAGTTAATTATAATGGGATGCGAGGATTGAACACCAGACCACTTAGTCAAGCAGGCTTTGATTCCATCTCAAGAAACTGTTCAACCTAAAAGCTTAAGCTGTTAGGTGAGGTCCCTGAATAGGTTTTTATTCTCTAGCAATATTTGCTTCTTTTTTGTATATTCTTATGTGTTTTGCACCAGTATGAGAGTATTAACTTCGGTATAACCATTTATTGTTGCTTGTGCAGTAGTAATGATCTATGAACTTTTAAAAGAAACATTAAAAAGAAAAACCTATTGAATACTTGAAGCCCAACCTTCTAGGATTAGGAATGCTAAAGATCTAACATCACATTAGCTATTTTGAGTTATGCAATTAGGAGACAAACAAATACATTGAAAATTTTATAGGCTTGAGGTATATATAACTTCCTTTTTTTCTTTCTTCACTTGAATAGGGGTTCACTGAAAGTCTGAAACAAAGGTTTCCGCCTTTCCTCCTCTCTCTTCCCCTTCTTTCTTGCCTAAAGCAGTGGTTTCACCCCCTATTGATCCTCCTCCCTCTCTATGATTTATTTTGTGGTTATTTTGAAACTTTAAACTTTGATTTCAACCTTATTTATACCTTCATGGACTTGTCTGTCTTGCATGTATGTAAGTTATGGTGCTTTAAAGATACTGATTTATCAATGCCTTTTTGTTTCTGTGAAATGTGGTCATGGATTGTTGCATTATGCCATTATGTAGGTTTAAATGTTTTCCTTGTGATACAGAATCTATATTTGCATATTCTTATATATCAAATTCTTTATTTATCATTTCTAAAAAGCTGCACCCCACCTTGTGTCTCAGTTGTTTGGAAATCTATGGACTTATATTGGTTCTTTTGCTTTTAAAAATCTCATCTCTGATGGTATTTGCATTATTTTTTGGATCAATCTCTGATGGTATTTGCTCATGGATATAATACATGACATACATGTTATGGATGACATTGGTTCCCTTGCTTTTAGAATTTAGACAACCTATTCTCTTCAAAGAGTTGAATTCCATAGGAGCTTCTTTGTAAGTAAATATCTGTTTTAGAATTTAATGGAAATCCCTTGGTCCTTTGTAGGTTACAGGCGAACTACTCAATGATCTTACTTGTTGGGATGCTTTGCGTGCTGCATTGCCTGTTGGAACAGTTAGTGGTGCACCAAAGGTTTTCAGTAACCTCCTTATTTTGTGGTTACTAATGTTTATCCAAGTTTTTTGGTTCTAATCAACAACTGTGATCTCTTTAATGGCTGAAGATAAAGTTGGATTGATTACCATACTGTTGATTATTTTATTTAACAATTTAGCACACTAGAAAAAAGCAATAGATCATTTTGTTCAGCCACTTCAGCCATTAACAAACAGAAACTAAGTGCCTGTTTGGGAGATCTTTCGAGTACCATCTTTTGGCTTTTGTGAGATGGAACCCACACGGACAGTCTAAAGCAATGATTGGTGAAAAACCTGCAAAGCCCAAATATATCATTCATCCAAAATATGGCTTTCTGGTGAAGCTTGTTTTACTAGCTTCTTCAAAGCAGCTTAGTGAAAGCAGCTCAATCAAATCTGAAGCTCTCCCAAACAGGCCCCAAGTCTATAGGGTTTGGCCAGTCTCGCATGTGCTTGCTTTGATAAAAGAACAATTAATACAATTAAAACTAGATAGAAGGTGAATTTTTCATGCTTGTCTGTTACCTTTGCCAGACTTGTAGGGGATGTTGAAGCCCCTATTTGTTCAGTCTCAATCAAAATGATACCAACCAGAAAAATTGATGAAAAGAATAAAACGATATAATCCAATGATCATATCATCTTTCTGCTTTTTACTTGATCTGTTATATTCTTTTGATGTTTTTTCCACTCTCAGATAAAGAGTTATGAAGCTTTTCCAGAAAAGATTTTATTTGATTATTTTATATTATGTTTCTATAGAAGATCGTGTTCTTTGCTGCTTGTGGGTGCCTCCAGTTGTAATTTCAGCATTGCCCTCGGAAAACCAGTAATTGGTGATTGTATAAATACTAATTCTTTATTGACCATTCTAATCAGTTATGCTCATCATGGAAATACGAATTCCTTTACCTCAAGTAAAGGTGGAGCCCCAATTCTTGTGTATGTGGTTTGTTGTATGGTTGTTCTGAAGCATGTTGTGTGAGAATTTTTATTGATTCTACTAGTTGGTTATGTCTACTGTGGTAGTAAATATTCCTCTACTTAATTCTCTTTGATACCTAAAATCCAGTACCTAAGCTGAAGCTGGAACGTTATAAATTGTTTCTGTTACTATATTATGGTCTTCTGTTATGTGTGTTCTCATTGTATGATCTCATGTAAAACAGGTTAAAGCAATGGAGTTGATTGATAAACTAGAGGTCACAAGGCGGGGGCCATATAGTGGCGGGTTTGGGTGCATTTCTTTTTATGGTGATATGGACATAGCCTTGGCACTTAGAACCATGGTTTTCCCCACTGGGACTCGTTATGACACCATATACTCATATAAGGATGTCAACAAACGACGAGAATGGGTGGCTCACCTTCAAGCTGGAGCAGGAATTGTGGCTGACAGTGACCCAGGTGATGAGCAAAGGGAATGCGAGAACAAAGCTGCTGCTCTTGCCCGTGCAATTGATCTTGCAGAGTCAACATTCATTGAGAAATAATGAGTTGCACCATATTTTTATATGCATGTGGAGTTGCTTTCTTATGTTACCTGAGTTCAACTGCGGGTACGTATCATTTCTCTTGGAGTTGGAATCTGTCTCACCCTACAAGTTTGGGATATGGGAACTTGTTCAAATATAGGATGCCAATGGGTACAAATATATGGACATATCAAGATTCACACACTTTAAAAATGATTTTACATCTATGCGGGGTGTTTTGAGTTTTATAACTTTATTGAAGAAGCTATGCTTAATACTGTATATGCATTCCATTGTTTAAAATCTGTAGTAGGAAGTTACAGAGAACACAATAGAACAAATTGTATCATGATTATTAAAAAATTCAAAATATACTAATAAATTGAACATTGAGATTGTCTGAGATTGAAGGAACACTCTTGATTGGGCATTGCATATATTCAATTTTGGAAGTTTTAAGTGTAATATGTAGGTTATAAGCCCAGATTGAATTGAAGTCATTATGGAAAGGCCCTCTTTCTACTTTTTATAATCAAACCGGCAGAGCTGCAACCTCTCCATTTGTCCAGTTGATCTCATATGCACCCTGCTCTGTCCTTACCCTTTTGTGTCGTAAAAAATAACCAGATGGGGCAGAGCAGGATGAAGGTGAGGCCCACTGGCTATACCACAGAGAGTCTGTATATCCATGGGTTTGATTCCACCTCCTAAATGAGAATTCGAATTTGATCCTCACAGTGCTCTGTCCTAGACTTGACTCTAATGTGTATAATGTAATACCAAAAAATAAATAAATAAATAAATCAAGATTATGTAGTAACCTTTCCAATTTATTGTGGGAAGACTAACATGGGTTTTCCTTCTGTGTATTGGCTAATTCCTCTTGTTTGGTTTGTTTGTTTGTTTAGTGGCGGCGGCTGCTGCTGCTGCTCGTGTTTGGTTCTTATTACAAAATCTTTTGTAATGTTTTCATTTCTTTGGATTGGGTTTGAGGTGGCGAGGGTGCTTTGTGCCTGGATCTGGGGCAACGTTGGGTCAAATTTTTCTTTTGTTTTTTTTTTTTTTTATTTCAACAGACTGAGAGGAATAAAGGGTAGCCTTCCCAAACTTCGAAAACCCCTATATCCCTTCTGTATTGGTGTATACATGGTTTTCCATGGCCTTGGATAAGAATACGATGCATTCAATATGGGGCATCTATTTTTTTACTCCCTTTGGCCAACCTTCCACCATGGAGAATTGGGGATGAGGTAACCCATCTCCCAACCCCCCTGTGCCTGTGGCAATGGGAATAGATCTGCGTCTCCACTGCCGCGAAGCTACAGATATACCAACTACCAACCAGTTGGCCACCTGGAACAATATTTAGCCATTAAGGAGCTCACAACCTCCTTGACATCATAGGTTTGAAAATTTGGCTTTGACTCAGCTAATGTGAGCTAAGCTAATGAACAAACCAGTTTCTCAACTTATTGACAGAATCTTGTTTCTTTAGTTGTTTGGATCAAAAACATTGTTCCATGGTTTTTCAATCATTCAGCACAATATATGGATGATTGACGAAACCGCAAATGCCAACTGGTTGTGATGAATCTTTGCTTAGATGCTACAAGTTATTATCGTGAGGATGTGTTCAATGCTTTGAATTCAAGAATCTCCAAAAAAGAAATTCAATGGGCTAATGGTAGATCTGAATTTCCAGAAATTCATTAGATGAGGGAGCCCTCTGGGAATTTGCCACATCTATCTATTGTGTCTGGGGTGGTGGAAAAAATAGTCTAGCTAGTCTGATCCGCCTGATGTCTCGGCTAGACCAGGCAGATCAAGGCACAGACTGGATTGAGTTGGTTCAAATCACCCCCCACCCACAATAGTCGGGTCGGGTTGGAGCTAGTTTGGGGTCTCAACAGTGACATCCATAGCCTGTTCCAACCTAACTCTTGAAACTGGTTTAAAACTACTGTAACTAGGCCGGGTAAATTAATCACAGCCCACTTATTATGTTAGATCAAAGCACAGCTTTTTCTGTCATATATTTTTATTTAGGAGTTGTTTGGCAAGTCTTTTTGAGAAGATCTTCTGGTAGCTCTGACAGTCAAAAGATGCATTATGTTTTTGCGTAAAGATCTGAGTAGCCTGAAACTAGTTTGGCTATTGCACGTCTTTTCATGCATCTTTCCGTATCTTTCTGCGTGAGAATAAAGAGAAAGATGCGAAAAGCTCCATTTGGAACTTCCCGAAATCAGCCCCAAATGAGCTTCTCGTGTCTTTTCAGCATATCGGCTGTCGGTGGCTAAATCTGTTATGAACCAAACAGAAAAAGACCGCAGCACGATCTGCCCAGCTTGTAAACAGCTGAAAGACCGCACGAGAAAACGCACCAAATGGGGCCCTAATTAATAACCTCAGTAAAAGAGCTCTATTAGATTCAACAATTTGTTATAGTTATATTATTGTATATCTTTACTCTTTAGTATTATATTTATAATGTAAAAACCTCTTATAAGCCGATGGGCTTTAAGAAAACAGTTTCCTTCCTTTTCTCCTGCACCTACCATTCTTTAAATTAAAATGATTTCAGACATTTAATAAAAGGGATATTGTCTAAATTTCGTCTTCACTTTTTTGGCATTTCTCTTAAACTAACCACGACTCTTTTTTTTTTATATACAACTGGGAAAGGAAAAACAAGGATGGGGATTATGAGCCAGCCGGCGGTGTCCACAAAAATAAGTAACTTGCAGTCACACGGTTAATCTTGAGGGAAGAGACTATCTCGAACGTGCCTGCTTCGCACATGGACCTCCAAAGCGGCCCACAACTCAGCTACAGAGACTGTGGTTCCTCCAATTTTGCCCATCTTGGTACTAAACACTTCACCTAGTGGCCACCCAGGTGGTTTCTTAACACACAGTCTCATTTTGCAAGATTGAAGCATCAAAATTGATTTTTATGGTGTTCATTTCCGCTGGATTCCATATTACCCATATGATCCTACTTACCGATCCTGAGGCTTGATAGTAAATCGGGTTTGCTTCAAAATATTCTTTTACATAGTTCCAAGCTCTTGAAACAACTTCTTGGAGAGATGATTCTTTATTGTGTTGGATCTTTTCATTTCTTGCTTTCTATATATACCAGAATAAATTCGCAACTCTTTCTCTGACCCAAGAATTTCTTTTGTGGATTTCTCTGTTCTCTAAATGTATCCACCATTCAAGTACACTCTCATGCGAGTCAATCAAGCCTAGCCAGTTTCGAGTATCAACCAAATTCCAAATTTGCTTGGCGAAATGGCATCTTAGGAGCAATATGATCTATGTCTTCTGTTTCCCCACAATATGGGCAACCCGACCCAATGTTCGAACCTCTTTCACATAGATATTTCCTGGAAGGTAATTTATTCAGTGAACAGAAGCCATAAGAAAATTTTTAATTTTACTGGGCAGTGAACTTTCTTGGAAATTTTTATGGCCCTTAGGATTTGAGTGTCGAAGCTGACGTTTATCCTTAAGGCCCATTTGTTTTTCGGTAAGTTATTTATATGGGTAAATGCATTTATCTGGGTAAGTGTTTTTCAGGAAAGGCTTATATGGGTAAGTGCATTTACCCATGTTTTTTTATTTCCCATGTAAATAAGGTAATGACCATTTTAACCATAAAAATCTATTATTAAAAGAGGCATTTTTGTCCCATTCAAGAGTATTGTCAACTTTCCCCTCAGGTGGGAAATTTATTTACCCACTTATGATATGGGTATCAATTACCTAGGTAAGTGATACCCAAAAAAATAAATCTGAAAAAAAAAACAACATAGATTTCTTGATTAATGGGATGACCAACTCCCCCCTTCTCAAAATCCAAAAAAAAGAACGCCCCCCTTAGATAAATATATGCCAGATTTAACCATTAATTTCCACCAGTGCCATGACCCCACACTCTCTTATCTTCTTCTCTGGTGGGAAGATAAATGACTTTAATTTTTTCTATTAGGTGGGTGGGGACAAGGTTATTGAGTTTGCGAAGATCCCACCTTCTTGTATCCACGTCGATGACTTCCTTCACCTTGAGGGCGAGATTTTCCTGATCCCAGTCTCTGTCATTCACTACGGTTTTAAGGGGTGTATCCTCTACCCAATTGTCTGTCCAGAGGTTATTACAGTGGGCTGCATTGCCTATTGTCCATCTGACTCTCCTTCTGATGTTTTCCTTTTCTTTCATGATTTTTTGTTTTTCCATTCTCAAGAACTGCTCTTTAGGGCAGAATGTTGTAAGAGGTCAGATTGTTTTAGCTATTTCTTGGTCACTACATGGACCCACAAATTTTCTGATTCATTCATAATTTTCCACCCAAGTTTCATTAGGTTCGCTCTATTAGCTAGTGTTGAATTTCTAACTCCAAGGCCTCCTTGATTCATGTCCATATACACATTCTTCCATTTGTTGTTCCTTTTTCGTACCCCATAAAAATTTTCTCTGTAATTTATCCCTTTCTTTTGTTTGCTCCTTTGGGATATCGAACATGCTAATATCGACTTAAAAGAGAGTTAGTTTTCTCGCTAGGTATGGGGTGTTGTTCTTCCAAGATTCTAGTTTCCCCTTGACCCTATATTACCAATGGTCAATCAATCTTATTAAATATTTTTTATGACAAATGACAAAATTACTCTTAACCTGACCCATGATCACCATGGTTTTTATATATAAAGAGCTGTATTTGGTCAAATAACAATGGAAATGACAAAAAATGAAATATTTTGTTATATTTAATAACAACTTAACCTTCACAAATCTCTGAAGTATCATCAGCTAATCCATGTAATACCACATTGATATGGCAAAGAAACCCTGGATTAGGCCCTCATATGTCATAACTAGCTGTCAGGAACATCGACTCCCTTTCTAATTAAGCCATTCCCCATATACAAGAAACAATATTTTATCTCTCAATAGATATTGCACTAAATGCAAAGCTGAGTGGCAATGAATTAAACCATTTCAAATGCAAATATGGAGTGGATACTTGGACTTCAAAGTTGGATCTTTAGCAAAAAAAGAAAAGAAAGTCACGTTGAATCTTACAGCCTATATATATATCTGGCATATCAAATGAAACAATTTCGTTGTGTTTTAATTTCCTTTGCATATCTATATATGAACAGGAGCCATCCCCAGTTAGAAAAATATTGGAATGAGATCACTTTTGGATTTTAAATGATTTTTTCTTCGATTTTGCTTAAAATACATCAACAAGTGAGTCTATCTAAGCTAGGATTGGGTTGCTTGGAATGCTACACAAAACAAAAAAAATGAAAGATTTCATTGAATAACATCTGGGAGGGAGTTGCAGACCATTGACGCAATCTTAATTCTCCAGATTAGAGTAAAGTGCTTGTCAAGTGA